TGATTGTTTTAATAAAAAATGTGTCCTTGTCCAATTGTTTTCTTTGTGATTTTTTATAAGTTATCAAAGCAATTCATTTTATATTAGCACATATATTTTTTATAAATTTTAAAATTTAATTTAATTATTATTATTTTTTGGACCGTCCACTAACCGCTGTTACGAACCCACTCGTTGGACTTGGTAAATGCTACTGATTCGTACGTACAACGCGTTGGACAAAACTAAAATGGTAACGCCAAATTACATATGGATTGAAGCGTATGAGTGCTTTTTACTATGCGCTTTGAGTGCTTTTCTTGTGGTTTCTTAGCAGCTTTACGGTGATTGCAGCTCAAAGATACTCAATTTTAAACATACTTTTATTTTATCTGTTAACTGCAGTTTTCGTTTTTATATGTTAATGTTTTTTGTAGTTTGTTCGTCGTTTTGAGCTCTTTTATTCAGTTTCGAACTGTTGTCGTCTCAAAAGACTTAAACAACGAACTACAGCAACATAATTTCTGTTGAGCTCAGCTCCATGTTTTCTTATCAACATTTGTTACCGCGCTTGGCAACTTTGCTACCAATGTCTATGTTGCTAAGAGATGTTGCTTGCTGTTTCTTCATATACTAAAATTCATAAGCTCTTATTATATATTTAATCCTTTAACTCCTAGGGGGAACATAGGGCCGCAAAAGTTCTTATTAACAATTTAAAAATTTTTTTGGTGAACAGATATTTGTGGCAGATTTTTGTTAAGTTAGTTTTTTGAGAATGAAATGTTTGTATCCAATTTTTTTATGTATACATACCATATATATTGTGCCGAAATTATCTTTACGTGTGAACACTGTTAAAAAACATGATAGATTATAATAAGGCAAGCTTAGTTATGAAGGTAGGTGAAGTGGAAAAAAACGAATCCTGCTCAATTAGCTAAAAAAAGTAGTTTCATACTAGTGAATAGAAGAATGGACATATTATAACTAGCCCTGCGCATTGAGAAAAAATGTATCTGGCTAATACTAAACTTGGAAATATCGACGAGTTTGTTAAAGAAGTCTTGACATAGACACAACAGATGCTTTGATGTCTTTTGTTTGCGCGCCAGTAGGCATGTACTACAAAAGATATGACATGGCAGATCGAGTCTTGCTTCACGTTGCAATATAGTCCAGTGTTTCGTTGGGACAACTATTAACCTAGATACTTCCGATTTGCTTCTGTGTATCAATTTGAAGTTTCTACATTTGGAGTTAACAGGCCATGTAGCACTTGCACCTGGCTGCTGAAGTATGAGCCCACTTCTTATATGTCTGTTACTATTTAAGGAAGACACAAAAACATCTCCAAATATTTTTAAAGAATAACTATCTCCTATTCATTTTTATTATTATCCTATTCGTTTTCAAAAAAAATTTGATCCGCGAATCAGAGTGATCAAATATTGGTATAGGAGAGATTCAGTTTTCTGGATATAGCAGTTGTGAAAGACGTCCTTCAGTGAGTTTAGAAAAGTTAAGATACAACAGTCCAACAATGGATAAAGTGTCATGGATAGTTAATGTTCGAGCCCACATAACAACTATAACTATTGTCTGGGCTTATTGTATTGGTGTTAAATTGGGAGAAATGATAGCGCAGCGAAGTTCAAGAGAAGAGTCGTATAGTTGGTAAGGCATCAGTGGATAAGTGACAAGAAATTCTCTACGATATAAGTAATTTTAATCTTGTTATTAACTAAAAAATACAGAAATGCTTGATGATAATCAAAAACACTTAAAAGTACATAAAATTTGTACTTCGATTTATTTTTATATTAGTATCATTTTTAATCCAAAAATAATGCAGTACATGATGTAAATAACAGCTTACAATAAATATCATATATTGAAAAATAAACTGTACTTATCAAAGAGAAATTTAGAACCTGCAGAGAATATTAAAAATAAACACTTCTTGTGTAAATGTTCAGGACTTCTAAGTTTAAGATATTTTTCCTTTTCGGAAGTCAACGAATTAATGAGTTTAATGAATATACCAAATAAAGATTTTCAAAAAATTATCCTGAATCTACGTGAATTGGTTTTCTATATTATTTCCTGAAAAGATAGAGTTCGGAGTGTTTAATGTGAATACCTGCAGTGAAGGTTTAGCACCACAGTGTTCTTAACACACGTATCAAGACGATGCGCCGATAAACGCTACATTGATATTCCAAGGCATTTCTACTGGTAGAAGTTGAAGTTATGTATTTGGATATAACTTTTCCCTTGGTAAGGAGCGAGGCCTAACTAACACATCTGTTGATCTTTGGATCGCAGTACAAAATTAAATAATGTAACGCCACATCAAATTAAAGTAAATAAATGCAAACATTCTACCCGCGTAAGTTTGGGTTTTAACTACAGTCACTTTTATTGGCTAGCTTAGCCAAAGGTGGGGGCTCTGACCCCCATGTTACCAGATTTATACTTCCAGTCAGGTGCCGCAATTGAA